TAACTTTTGTTGTTCGAAATTCATCAACATTAAGGTTTATTTTTCTGATGAATTAACTTAATTTTGCCTTTTTTTTTTCTTTGCATAACTTGTTAGAGTTTATGTATATGCTCATTGTCTAATTTGAACTGAATACACATTAAAATGCAGATAACTTAGTGAAGTTAGTTGAATTTTGGTATGTAAAATATAATGTGGTTGAATTAGTGATTAGCAATTGTGTTATAAATTAGTGAATAAATTAGTGAAATTACATTATTTACTCTAAATTTTAAAAAAATTAGTAATTAGCAATTGTTAGTTTGATTAATGATGCGTTATACTTTAGCAATAAATGTAGGTATTAATTACTTACTAACTTTTGTTTTTTGTTTTGTTTTTTCTTTTTGTTTTTTTTATAGATTCATATGTGAATTGAAGCACAAGTTTAGCTTGAAGACTACATATTTAGCTCAAGTGGGAAGTAAGAAAGAATACATCCATTGTACTTGCTATATTAGTATGAATTATAAACTTTTCTAATCTATATTTCTTTTTCTTTATTCATTCAATAAAAGTTTTTTCATGTTATTACAACTTTTGTATTGTTTAATGACAAATAAATACAACAATATATAAAATGCTTGCATCATCATATGCCTAGATACCCGTTCAAGGCTTTCTCATTAGGAGAAAGTGTTGAATAGTCCCTGGTTGGGACTGTTCTTGAACGTTTACTCTCACTTAGGTGGTGAATGTATGTCTTCTTTTTCTGATTTTAAGGAACATCTTGGCTTATCATTTCCTCACCCTGTTCTCTGGGTACATATGTGGGTAAGTAATTATCTACATCGTGTACTTGGAGAACTGGGGGAAATGCTGTCGGATTTTCCTTAAAATTGGAAAGTCGACATACATTCACTAGTGAGATTACACGTTCAATGATGGGTTAGGTTGGAGTGATAATGACCCTTTGGAAGCATATATGCATTTTTTTACTATAAGAATGTTATATGCATGGTGTGTGTTTGAATTTGATTTACATATATAATGTATGTAGCAATTATACATTATTCGTAATATGTTGCTATGTTTAGAGACAATTTACTTAATGGAGAAGGATCGTAGTTGGATGTATGGTAGACGTGATACATTGGAATTCTTTGATGGGGTTCAAGAGTTTTACGAGAGGGCTTCATCTTATCAGCGCAGAATGGGTGTCGATTGCCTCTATTGTCCTTGTATTGATTGTAGACCTGATCAAGTATGGCCCGACCCGATTTTGGGGGGGCTTTGGGCAGAAATTTTCGGCCCGAAATCGGGTTGGGCCCGGCCCAGCCCGAAATTTTTATTTTTTTGGGCGGGTTTGGGAATGCGTTTTTAAGCATATTTAGTTGATTTTTTAGGCCCGCCCCGAAAATGGCCCGAAAAGCCCGCACGGCCCGACCACTTTGGGCGGGTTTGGGCACAAAAAATTCGGTCCGAAGCTTGGCCCGGCCCAAGAAGTGGGCAAATTTTTTTAGCTTCGGCCCGGCCCGCCCAATGATCACCTCTAATTGATCGTAATAATGTGAAGGTGGTCAATAGTGTTGATATCATTAGAGATCATGTAGTTTGTCGGGGTTTAGGCTTAAATACCATGTGTGGATTTGGCACGGTGAAGAAGAAGAGTACAGTGGGGATGTTGATGGAATGGTGTGCATGATAGAAGCAATGAGATTCATGTGGACGAGGAATACAGGATTGATGAATATATTATTGATAATGGTGATGAGGATGGATTTGAGGATGATCAGGTGGATGAGGTCGAGGATGAAGGGGTGGATGAGATGATGCGTGGTGTTGAAGGTGACGTGTTTGAGTCATTATCTAAGGCTTCTAAAAAGCCTTTGTATCATGGGTGCAAAAAATACTCCAAACTATCAGCTGTGCTAACAGTATTTAACACTACTATAAAAATAGGTAAAGAGATATATTAAAAGAGACCTGTTACAAGACTTAACAGGTCTCTTTGATCAAAAAGACCTGTTGTTACTGATAACAGGTCTCTAATGAGCTTTTTGTTGGCGGGAAAAAAACAAAGAGACCTGTTGTTAGTGTTAAGAGGTCTCTTTGTTTTTATTATTATTTGTTTAATCTTAAAATTATTTATGATTTCTTATATACTAGTATCACGTGTACACTAGTATCAAATACTAAGAAGCATTCTAGAAATATTGAGTAAAATTTTGTTAAAAATAATAAAATAAAAATTAAAGACTACTAACTTCCTTTATTTTTAGGAGATGTGTACTACGCTACTACTTATTATCTTAGACTAACACTTCCTAACAAAAAATAAAATAAAATTAAAGTAAGAGTTAAAAGGAGGTGTAGAGTAGTAGCACTGTAGCAGCAGTTTCATCTTCCTCCTCCAAAAACCCAAACCCTTGAACTTCCATGGTTTCCCTCCCAAGTTTTTCACCACCTAATTAGAGGCGATCGATTTTAAGATTGTGTCCACCATCATCCACATAGTAAGCCGCCACCGTCGTCTAGTTTACAAGGCCGCCACCATCTGAAGCGTACTCGGGTCACGACTATCAACCACTCTGTTTCAAGCGATTGTACAACGGTAAGCCGTTTGCATTCCGGGCCACGTCCCCCAACCACAAATTCGTTCTTCTTTCATTGTTCACTATTAATTATTGATAAAGATTGTTCAATTTCCAGCCATAATACAAGCAATTGCATTACTTTACATTTGATCGATTTCCCACCACAACCAGAAAATTCTTATTCTTTTTAAGGTATTTTTCATTCCTGTTCCTTACTCAGAAAAATAAGCATGCGTCTTATATGTGAATATACTTGGCCTCTGGCTAGATTGAATTTATAGCATTCGTGATTTGTGAACTTCTGTATTTAAGTTGTGCAACATCACCGATTAGCCAATTGTTTTCGTAATAATTTGTTCTGCCTTGTTTATAGTTGTACAATGACAATTACGGTAATGAGGCTATTGGGTGATCATTTTGTAATATCAGATAGCGTAGTAAATGAGTTGAGGAAATTGGATACTTATTAAAAGTTCCATTTGTCCTTGTGTTTGATGCTTCTTCTGGTTTACAATAAATTTTGGCGGCTTTTGTCCTCAATTGTTTGCCCCATAGTTATATTTTGATTGTGTGGAGTTGATGACAAGGAAAAGTGGTGATCCTAAAAATTTAATATACGTTGTAATATTTGAGTAAAGTTGTGGTTCCTCGTGTATATGTATGATATGAGACAATCTTTTAGGGATAATCTAAAAAAGATAATGTGGCAAAATTTAAGGGACAAAGGGTTTTTTTGATTCAAGTGTTGAAGAATAAAAAGCTCAACTCAAAAATTGAAACTGGCCTCAAGTCGAAACACTAGGTTATGATCAGCATTTGTGACTTTTTCTTCTTAAACTCGATAATCTTTGTTGCCATGGGTTATAATATTAAAATTTTATCTTGCTTTTAAAGTCTATTGTACTGTAAATGGATTTAATGTTTCTTTTTACTATTCTCTTATTGAATACAATATTCTGAATTAATATGATATTTAAATTCAGATGATTCATGTTTAGTTTATAGCCTTAAAAATTCTGCTTGCATTTGTGGTGGCTGCTTGGGTCATGGTTTCAAATTTGATTTTCCCGTGAAAAGTATGGTTTTGTCGTTTTTCGGTTGATAAAAATATTTTGTCTAATCTAGTAAATATTTGTTGTATTCTCTAATTTAATATCTTGTCACCCCCTTTGCTAAATTCAAGACTTACATGTACATATATGTGAAGACATTATCACTTTCGAAAATATTATGATTATTATAAAGTCTTGAATTGCTATTGGTGCATATAGAATGGATCGAAGTTGGATATCAACAAAAAAACCGGGTGACCCAGAATATCAAGCAGGTATTACAGAGTTCATTAATTTTGCAGTTACTAATAGTGGTGGTCGTCCCAAGCTACCATGTCCTTGTTATATGTGCCACAATTTGCTACATAAGAGGTCGGACGAAATACTTAATCACTTGAGTAAGTGGGCATTTGATAGAACATATACCAATTGGATTTGGCATGGAGAATGTAGGGAAAAACCTCTTGTTAGTAATGTAGCGGGTAGTGTGTGTGAAGGTGATAGCACAAATGAGGCAGATAATTTAGAAGATTTGTTGCATTTAGTGAAGGATAACTTTGATGATAATCCTACCATGTTAGAGAGCATTTTAAATGACTTTGAAAAGCCTTTGTATGACGGTTTCACTAAGTATACTAGATTGTCTGCTATAATCAAGTTATACAACTTGAAAGCAGGTCATGGTTAGACTGATACAGGCTTCAGCATGCTACTAGAAGTTGTCAAAGACATGCTTCCAGAAGACAATGTCCTTCCATCTACTACTTATGAGGCAAAAAAGAGTTTAAGCTCTATGGGTTTACCTTACGAGAAAATCCATGCGTGTCCTAACAATTGCATGTTGTATAAAAATGAAAATGAATCTTTACAGAGCTGCTCAATTTGTAAAGCCTCGCGGTATAAGAAAATTGGTGGCATAGTCCCTGCTAAGGTATTATGGTATTTTCCAATAATACCACGGTTTAGGCGGCTGTTCTCAAATGCAGGGGATGCAGAGAAATTAACATGGCATCATTATGGTCGATTAGATGATGGAATGCCTAGACACCCCGCCGATTCTCCGCAGTGGAGGTTTATTGATGGAAAATACTCGGACTTTGCAAAACAGAAGCGTAATCTAAGGCTTGCATTGTCTACAGATGGGTTCAATCCATTTAGGAACTTGAGTAGCACATTTAGTACATGGCCCGTCATATTGGCTACTTATAACTTACCTCCTTCGTTGTGCATGAAACCACGATATATGTTTTTGGCATTGCTAATTTCTGGGCCTAAACAACCTAGAAATGACATTGATGATTTGAATATTATTTGGGAAGATGGTATACAGGTGTTTGACGCACATCGTAACTAGAAATTTATCATGAAAGCAATGCTGTTTAACACCATCCAAGATTTTCCTGCTTATGGTAATCTTTCTAGGTATACCGTGAAAGGGAAAGCACCTTGTCCCATAGGCATGGAGGATTGCGGGGGAGAATGGTTGAGCGCATCACGCAAGCATGTGTTCCCTATACATCGGCAATATCTTCCTTTGAGTCATCCATTTCGTAAGAGGAAAAAGGCCTCCAATGGGAAACAAGATTTTAAAGGTCGCCCAAGAGTTCTGTCAAGTGAAGAGGTCTTTGAAAAGGTTAAAGACATTCAAATTACCTATGGGAAAAAGCTTAGGTCTTCTCTTCCTACGCAAGGCTTTAAGAAGTGTTCATATTTATGGCGCCTAACTTATTGGAGATTCCTTTTTGTGAGACATTCGCTTGACGTGATACATATTGAAAAAATGTGTGTGATAGTTTGATTGGTACTTTATTGAATATTCGTGGGAAGACTAAAGATGGCACAAAAGCTAGAGATGACTTACAAACCATGGGGATTAGAAGTGAACTCCATGGTGTTGTGAATGACAAAGGTCGAGCATACCTGCCTCCAGCAGCTTATACATTGTCAAGAAAAGAGAAAATTGAGTTTTGTGAGAGCTTGGCTGGAGTAAAAGTGCCAGAGGGTTATTCTTCAAGTATTCGCAACCTTGTGAATATGGAAAACTTGAAACTCGTGGGCCTTAAATCTCATGATTGCCATGTTCTAATGTAACATCTATTACCAGTGGCTATTCGTTCAATTTTGCCTAAAAATGTTCGTTTTTCCATAACCAGACTTTGTTTATTTTTTAATGCAATTTATAGCAAGGTCTTTGATCCTAAAGAGTTGACTGCATTGGAAGATGGAATTGTTGTAACTTTGTGCGAATTAGAAATGTACTTTCCACCATCGTTTTTTGATGTCATGATTCATTTACCAGTTCACTTGGTTAGAGAGGTGAGATTTTGTGGTCCTGTGTACTTGAGAAATCAGTGGCCTTTTAAAAGGCAAATGAAAACATATGGCGGTTATGTCAAGAACGCTTTTCACCCTAAATGTTGTATCGCTGAACGAATTTTTTATGAAGAAGTTCTTGCATATACTAGTGAATTTATATCAAATTCTATGAAGATAAGGCTTCCCGTTTCTCGACATATGGGAAGAATGGGTGATCAGGGGACCCTAGGCCTTAAACAACTTGACATGTCTTATGACGATTGGCACAAGGCCCATTCGTACATTCTTCACAATAAGGATGAATTAATGCCATATATTCAAAAACACATGAGAGACTTGAGGAAATACAATAGAAGAGCAAATGAGAAATCAATAGCTGATGAACACAATAGATCGTTCATTAGGTGGTTCAAGGATCAAGTTTTGAGGGAGCTTCAGGATTCTCCGAGTTCTATTTCTGATCGACTTAAGAGTTTGGCATATGGACCTAATTTCAACGCTACTTACTATTCAGGTTATGTTATCAATGGTTTCACATTTTACACAAGGCTGCAAGATGGAAATAGTACTATGCAAAATAGTGGGGTTACTATAGAGGCTGAAGCTATTCATTTTGCTAGTGGAAAAGCCAAGCATCCCGTTTCTGGCACAATGCGATACTATGGATTTATTGAAGAGATTTGTGAGTTGCATTACTCCAACTTTTCAATACCAGTTTTCAAATGTCAAAGGGTTGATAATAACAACGGGGTTGATCATAGTAGCCTTGGAATGACTTTTGTTAACTTTAATAAGATTGGTCACAAGGAAGATCCTTTCATTTTATCTAGTCAAGCTAAACAAGTGTTTTATATGACTGATCCATCAAATAAGAGAATGTCAGTTGTTATAACACCGAGACCACGACATGCCATAGATGATTGGGGCGATGATAGTGTTTTAGAAGGTAGTTGTTTGCTGGGAAAGGGACTAGTTGATGATGATGTTGCTGATGATTCTTCAATCTACGCAAGAGATGACCACAATGAAGGTTTGTGGGAAGATGATGATAACAATAATAAAGTGAAGCGAAAGCAAAAGAGAAAGTGTAGTCGTAAAAACTCTTAAGGGGTTCAAGGTGAATTTTTCTTTTATATATCTACTTTTATTACAAAAGAGAATGTTTCCTCTTAAATGCTAATAACTTTGAATTTAGTAGGGTTATGCATGCTTCTTCAGATCATATACTCTCACGTACCATGCTAGCTATCTTTTACTCAAGTATTTTAATAATGTGTCGTGTTCTTTTATATAACTAACAAAGTGAATTTAACTTATCAGTTTAATGTAGGTACATGGCCAGAAAGAAAAAGAAAGTACAACCGAATGATGATTCCGAAGAGTCAAGTTGTGAGGAGGGAGGTCGTATCGTACTTAAAAAGGTGGGGAAGGCTATCCATGCTGGCACCCAAATCCCATTACAATGGCATCCAAGTAGAAGAATTCCCACTGGTGAACACAAGACTCATTTTTCCACCTACATTAGTGTAATGGCACGTGAAAGAATAAGCATTGCCTATAAATATTGGCATGAAGTTCCAACAGGAGTGTTAGTTGAAGTTTATGGATTTATCTCGGTAAGATATACTAATCATGTATTAGAATGGCAAGATCATTTTATATTTAAGTTTTTTTTTGTACTAACTTATAAATTTGTTTTGTTTGAACATAGAAGGGGTTTTATGTTCCTGAGAATCGATTCGATGGAAAGCTTTCAAGACTAGATTAAGAACCAAGTGGCTATATAAAAGAGATAAAACACTTCGTCAAAAGCCAAACACACAAGCATCCTTTTGTTGGGTTTTGTAGCCTCCAACGCTACGCGGAAGAGAAACCTGCCCAAGACCCGCTCACTAATTAAAGCAACTATATATTTAATCACATAATTAACAACAAAAAGAGAGAAAGAGAAAAGACATTCTTACCCTCGACGCGTGCTTCGCTCGCAAATCGAGCTCTTCCTTCGAAAGCTCAAGCGTCACAATCGTGATTGCCTCCAACGGCTCGTACCCACGAACCCGACCCAAACGGTCCAAGTCCCGAAGGTAGTCGGGACCCGACCAATAAAAACTGGAGTTTTACGAACTTATAGGTTTTCTCAGACTGAAGTTTAGCACCAAGAACATCAACCCACTCATAATCTCTAATTGTCCCTCTCCACGCCACATAAATCTCTCTCCTTTCACTCTCCTTACTCACCTCATCATTCGATACGACGACGTATCCGATCCAATTCGACTCAAGTGTATTCCCAAATGCCCAACACTTGGGTATTTATAAGGGAATGCTACTTGATTTTCCATTCTCCCACCAATGTGGGAGAATTTGCATTTCAATCATAAAATGATAAGCAATAGATAATCAACAAGTGTCACATGGTGAGGAGAGGTTAGGTGAGGACCACCAATGGAGGGGGACCATTGCCTTGCTCCCCAAGCCAAGCACCAACCACCTTTGGTCCCCTCTTTAACCAAGCATGACCACGCCCCATTGGCTGGCTGGCAGCCCACCTTGGCTGCTAAGGCTGCCAGTTGGTGCCTAGCACCAAGGCTGGACTGCCTGGCCAGCCAGCACGCAGCCAACTAGCACATAGCAAGCCAGCGCATGCGATGATGCTGCTAGGTGCGTGCTGATGTGCTGCCTGGCGCTGCGAGGTGTGTGAGGCTGTGATGCGAGTGCTATGTGATGCCAGCACGCATAGCCCCACAACATTAGCACGCATTGCGCGCTGCTAGCGAGGCCCAGCACTTGCGTGCTGCTGCTGGCCTTGCGATGCTACGACATGGCTGCTATGTGCGAGGCACTAGCATGCTAGCACGCTTAGCGCGCCAACGATGCTAGCCTTGCCACACCAGCTAGCTAGCCAGCCCTGCTAGCATGCGATGCTAGCATACATGCGCTGCTAGCAAGCTCGGTAGGGTGCGTGGCCTAGGCTAGCCTAGCACATGCATGGCTAGGCCAATGCGAGGCTACGACTTAGCTCATACTTGTCGCTTGTTGATTTTTCTCGTCTCGTCAAATTCCAAATTCGACTCGACTTACGACGATCGGTCTCGACGCTCCGAGCTCGATATCCGATGTCTTTGTTCGTAAAACTCCGACGACTCATCAAATCCTTCGGATTGATTCGTCGTCTTGGATTGGTTGTTCGATTGGGTTCGACCCGAAGGGTTCAGGCAAGATCAAGCTGTAATATTAATTGTACATTAATATTACTGATCGAAAGCGGCCTCCACCTAGGCACTTGACCTTACTGAAGAATTAGCTTTCCGATAATTCTGAACCCTCTATCGGAATAATACACTTGTTGGAAGGACACCATTCCTTTCCATCTCCCACTTGGCCTTTTGAACAAGTGTGGATATAGTGTATAGCCCATTTCCTATGTTGCTTAATGTCTCTTCGTGAACTATAAGGTAAGATTCATCGTCATCCTTACTACATTCAGAAGTGTTTCTCGATCTCCGAGTTCGACTGTCAATTAGAAGATGATTTCTAAAATCCATCTGAGCACGACCATGCATTTTCACAGTCTCGCTCTTTGAGCGGCCTTGTAAACAACAAAGACACATTCCCTATTGTTAATAGGGGGACATTCCTAGTCTTGTACCGTAAGCTTCCCTTACTAAGAGGACCTAGTCGCCCGAGTGTTGCCGTTATAATCCCCAGTTACGGCAGACGTTTGACAACTTCAAAATGACTAGTACTCAAACAAGAGAACTTCACGACACTCATGGTCGAGGAAAGAGGTTCTGATAGTCATAATGAGAATTGTACTTATGACGATTTTTAAATCTCTTAAAGTACTCTCATAGGTCGATCCGGTGTTGTTCCAAACTGACACCTGTGCAAATGATTCATGACTACTATGTCCTTGCAGCACAAGAAACGGTGTTGTAAATCATACTACACACTAATCCCTGGTGGTCATTAATCATCCATCTATTAAATGACCTCGATTAGGGATAATTTTCGATTTAAATATTCAGTGTTCACTTAACAGGTGTTTCTTTATCCAAAACATGGTCTTGATACCATGTTTTAAATATTCTTAGAAATCGAATGGACTCAATATTTAATTCTAAACCACAATTAAATAGTTTTTGGAATTTTATTAGTAAAATTTTATTCCACTATTAAACTTCCAAACATTTCATCTTATGATAAATGGTTTTCTTCAAATGTTTCCAAGAGTAATACTCTTCATTAAACATTTATAGAAATCACACTCATACTTAATATGCTTTATTTCTTTCATGCAATTGCGAATGTTTTCGTTCACTTGTTGCATAGGTTAAGCCATTATTACTTTGCAAATCTTAGCATCTTCATTATCCAACAATTTCATAATAAGACGATAAAATTTTGAGAGTGTTATGGATCATATGTGATTTAGGATTTATTGTCCAAGTGATGGCTCCCACTCATTTTCATGACTTAAGATCTTTCAACTTGACATCCTACAATCAAGGTTCGACAACGAACTTTCCATTAAATACTATCTTATTATCGCTTTCCAGGCAACAATATTCTCAACATATATTTTAGTAAACATTCTGATGTTGCTTTGCTCGGATTTTATTCCGAATGACTCACAATGATTTGGGAGACCCTAATCACTTGTGATTATGGAAGTTTACCTTAAATTTCCGCACATTATACATGGATCCGAGTCCATGTTACCATTCTCAAGCCACGACGCATTCTAGCTCGTGCTTATAAACAGCTTCCTTATTAAGGATCTAATCCTTGCTAAGGATGTGCTTGCAACATAAATTCTCAAATTACAATTGTTTCTATGCGTCTAGAACTTATCCCCTTTTACTTATCAAAGTACTTTGGTTTTTCTTGTCCATAATCTAACGATTCATCACTTAGATTTAGATTGATTGGTATTTTATACTTCTCATGCTCTAAGCATGTAAGTTGAGTGAAGACTCCATATCATAGCATACATGATGGTTTTAATCGCAGAATTATTCCCAATATGTTCCATTCATGTGACCTTTTAGCTCATCCAGTTTCACTGAGTCTTGCTAAATTGTTTGCTATGTGATACGGTTGAAAGTCTCTACTAGAGTCTTTCTTGTTTGACTTAGTATTTGCCCAACTTATACTTAGTTCAAACATTTACTTAGTTTTTATACATATGGGTTGAAAGCCTTTTGAAGTCCTTCATGTTTAATACGGTAAATTCCTCTACTCGTTTAAACATTTCATTAGGTCTATCTAATAGATCTTAATTCCCACTATGTACTAAGTATCGCCTTTTGCTTGGTCCATTGTTGAAAATCCTTTCAAACCTAAGCATTTAGTATTTGATAGTCATTTCACAATAGAGTTCACAAACTTCTTGTTGGACCATACAAGATTGACTCTTGCTCCCACTAAACTTTTTGTTTATAAGAATTTCTATGATTCTCCATTAGCCAAACCTTTTATTGACTTTATGAGAATACATGTTCCAATTCCTACATGCAATGCTTCATTTAATCCCACAATGGATTTTTTTTTTGAGCTTGCTTTGAAATCTAGCATTATTTAGAATTACAAAACCCTTAGACTATTTCCATAGTCTCTTCTAAAATCCAATTTTAGGAAGGTGGTTTCGTATTTTGCCATATTTCATATGCGCAATTTTGCTAGAGCAATCACGAAAAGACTTTAGCGTTCCGATTGGTTAATAGGTTTTATTAAAATCAACACCGTCAATTAATTGTATCCTTTTCAACCAATCTAGATTTGTATGCTTATGCATTTCCATATTTGTCAGTTTTCTCCTTGAAAACTTATTTGCGATTGATGGTTCTGTCACCCTTCACGCAAATGAATCAAGTTCCAAACATGATTTACAAACATGGAGTCTATTTCGGATTTTATGGCCTCTAACCATTATTCGGAATTTGGATTTGTCGTAGCTAATTTACAAGACACTATTCCCTCACCATCCAATGATGAATAGTTTGCTTGTAGGTCATAGGTTTATTTCTAACTTAGTAGAAATTTATAGGATTCAATCCAAGCCTTTGGTGAATTCTATACCTATATGGGGTAATAGGTTGAGCATT